CGTGTCATCTAAACAGCTCACCACAGCTCTGTGGCGGTTGGTGGCAGAGGTTTAAAAAAAAAAAAAACAGATAGATGATATTTCCCAGTTATGTGGGTTTTCCTTCATGTTCTTTTGTCTGATGCCTCCTGGTAGTGAAAAAAAGAAGGTTGAGCTGTTTGTGTTTAAATTCAGAGGAATCTAATTAGGAGCCGACTCTGTTCTCGTAAACCACTGTGCTGAGACCTTTCTGAATAGCCTTGAAAAATGAAAGCATGTTGCTTACTGCTATTAGGAAATCTTTTTCTTTTAAATAAATAAAAGGCCAAATAATTTTTGGATTTCCCTAACAACATGGTATCGTTTGTGGCAGAGAGCTTGACAGTGTCTTCGAGTCTCCTGTTCTTGGTAATTGTCTGTGTTCCAGAACCGAGAAGAAGGTTCTAACCTCGTGACTCTGGCTGATGTCAGTGAGGCCAGAGTTCCTAAACCACCCCACACACCACTAAAACTGTGGCTGCAAACAGAGTCCGGGACAACTTGCTCATGAGAGGTTTGGGGACCTGTCTCAGCTGAAAGTGAATTTGTATGAAAAGTTTTTTAGAAGTACACTTTATTATTACATCTGCTTGCATGGTTCATCAGTTGGAGTTGTCTTTCACATCTCAAACACTGGCCTGAAAACTTGACTTAGACTACTGAAGTCTGTTTAAAAGTGATTTCTTCAGAAATCGCCTTTGCTTAATTCTCTGGTGTTAGAGCTGACTGGGGAGACAGGTCGTGTCCCGGTGTCCCGAGAGGTCGCTTGTAGATCGAAATTAGTGGCAGGTTCTCAGGCAAACCCCACCTCCTCTGTTGCCCATAGAGGTCAAAAACATTATTGACTTTCATTAAAGCAGAGAAGAGAATGCACTTCTGTAATTGGACTAGAAGACAAGAGAGGCTGACTGAAAAATTGTTTTTAATCTATCGCAACTATGATTGACTTTAGAAGTTAAGGAAATATGTATAAGGAAATCCAAGGAACTTTGGAGAATATTAGAATGTGATGCACTGGGGTTTGGTTTTGGTTTTTAAATACTAGTACAAAGTAGTACATTGATAATGTGACAGACCTATGTACGCCCCAGTCAACATGAGGAGGTAGTAACATTTTATTATATTCATTATATACTTATTTTATTAATTCAGATTATTTTTTACTTTTGAAGAAATAAACATTACAGTTGAATCCCCCCATATTTCCCTGCCTAATCCTCTTCCTCACTCCTCAAGGACAAGCACTGTTATAAATTCAGTGTATATGTAGTCTGTATTTTGTAATTTTATCTCCTACATAAATGTTTTAATTTTTTTTGGTTTTTAGTTGACATAAATGGTACCATATCTCATTCTGTAATTTGCTTTATTCTCAGCATTAAGTCTGGCGGATCCAGAGTATTGAAACTGATCAATCTCTAGACCATTGACTTCTCTTAAATGGTATTCCATTTTATGAATATATCCGATCCGTCCCACTACTAAGTCACTTGGGCCATTTCCAGTTTCTCTCTGTCACAAGCAGAGCTGCAGAGATCCTCCCTGTGCACCAAGGGAATCGCTAAGTCGTCAGGCGGGCACCTTGTCAGCTTAGCTGCATGTTGCCAAGTTGCTCTCCAAAGCGGAGGAACCAGCTTCTCTGTCCCTCGGCGGATGCCGGGAGTTCCCGCATGACCACTTCCTCACCAGTACCTGGACTGGGCAGGCTTTTATTTTATCCGACCTGGTTGGACACGGAATGGTATTTCTCTGCTGTTTTAGTTTGCATTTCTGATTTCTAGAGAGATCAGGCACCGTTTTGTGTTGGGAACGGCCTGTACACGGTCTGCACGACTTTTCTGTTGCGATCTTTGTCTTTTTCTTACTGGTTTATGACGAGTCTTTAACACTGTCAGGACCTCACGGTGAGTGAGTGGCAGTACATGTAGTTTCATTTCAGAATGTGTGGTTTTCCTTGTCTGGCATATGGATTTGTTAGCTTTCCTCATATGCTTATCTTCCACGTTTTAAAGCGTATTTTGTTAAGTAGAAGGGACAAACCAGAGGTTCTCCTGAGAGGGGACAAGGAGGAATGGGGTTAAAGAAGAGGTATCTGAAACACTTTAGCTGAGCGGGGATTTGTGAAAGACAGAGGAAAGGTGGCGAGGGGAGCCTGTGTGTGAGAGGGAGGATGGGCCACCTACGACATTGGAATTGGTGGGGGGGCTCTGTGCTACCCGGCATCTGCATGGCAGGCACCCCGAGTAAGGATAGCGTGCAGACGGGGGACTGTGTCTGTCTTACTAGAACATGACTGTAGGAATTGTCTCGACTACCATATCGAGCTTCTCGCTGTGGGTACAGCAGCTTGGAGCACCTGCCCACCTCTCCCCACTCTTCAGACATCTAGTGCTTACTGTGGGGCGGGAACTGGGCATAGGGATCTAAAAGTTGTAAAAGACAAAGTGAGACTCCCTCAAGGAGTTTTCTGTCCAGTGGAACAGAGCGGCCAGTCCAGTACTGTGATGGAGGCCAGTGTGGAATTCCAGAAGAGCAGCGGTGGGAAGTCTTTTCTTTCCCGGGTGAGTCAGGACTTCACTGAGGTGAGTCCTGCCGACCCAGTCAGGGAAAGGGACACAAGCACAAAAGACTGTTTGCTCAGGGCTCACAGGTACAACCAAAAACACAGTGAGCATCTGGAAGTTCATGCATGGCAGGCCATATCGAGCCAAGTGGGAAATTTGAGCTTTACCCTAAAGATGATGGGAGCCACCAAAGAGTGTCTGGGAGGTGAGAGGCCAAAAACAAAGTTAAGTACAAACCAGTGAAGACAAACGGTCCAGCCCACCTGTTGCCTCTTTGGGACTTCCCTAGAAGACTGCTGGCTGGGGAGGCATGAAGTCTCCAGCCCGGCTTCCCCGGGGTCTGGGTCCTGGAATAGGACGTTGCATGAATGCAAACAAGGGCAGAGCCACACTGGCATCTCAGGAGTTGCCTGGATTTCTGCGTGTGGTTCTACTGTTTCTCTCAGTAGTAAAACAGTGACTTCTTTATCAAAATTGATCCTTATTTTCAAGTCACAAAGAACTGGACAAATTAATGAGAGCCAGTGGTTTCCAGTTCTTTAGAGAAACATCCTCCAAATGTTTACTTTTCCTAATTAGAATGAGTCACTCCCCAGGGGTCTCTTTCCTTATGCCCAGAAAGGGACATTGCTGAGAAACCCCAGCGTTCCTGGTCAGTCTGGGTTTTGACTGAGTTACTTCTGGTATTTTCCTCTTTTTGGTACCAACGTTAGCCTTTCTCAGCAGAGCCTCTCCACGTCCTGCCATTGGTAAAGGAACTTCGGTGTCCCTTAAGGTTTGTTAACAGAAAGGTGACTAGAGAGTGAATGTCACGAGGGGTGAAGCCAGAAGAGGTCAGCTAGATGGGGACAGAGGCAGGCCTAGGAGGGAAAGGCCCAGAATAAAGCCTCACCCCACCCCCAGGACCCCAGACTGGTTGCGACTGTGGCCCATCCTGTTGACAAAAGCAGACATGCTCCTGCTAGCCTCCTGGGTGGTGGTGGCCTCTGTCAAGGCTTCTCCAGTCAGGGCCCTTCCCTGGCCGTAACCTCTGGGGTGGCTGGGGCCACCTTAATGGTAATTCAGATGACACAGAAGCTGAAGTCTTTAGCTGCGTGAACCTTGTGGGACACTCCAGTGGAATTTACTTTGAAAAATTATCCCAAGAGAGAATGTGGACCCTCCTCTCATTTATTGGATGGGGAAACTGAGGCACTACGGAACGACTTGCATGTGCCACCCTAACTAGCAGAGCCAGGACCTAAATCAGATGTCCTGCATAGCCGTTCCTCCTGGGCTCCTGTCAGTGCTAATGAGTTGGCATCTCACGTCTTATAATCAGGTCGTGTCAGGGCACTTGGCCTTTGGATAGAGGAGACCTAGTAGGTCTTGAATAGGAGCCGTGAGCCAGGCCCCGTGCTAGAGAGACGTAGAGACTCAGCAAGAGATGGCAGCACTCTGTAGAACACTGGGAGACCATGACGGTACGACGTGACAGGTGGCACTAGAGCTCCGTGCACCGAGTAGGTATGGCGGGAGCAACTGTTGAGAAAGGGCCTATGGGAAGAGGCGTCTCGGCCCACCGTGAGTGAGCGGAAGTGGGCAGGACCTGTGGTGCTGCCTGTTGAATGGTGTCCGGTTGATTTTCTCAGGGAGCCTTCCTGGAGAGGCTCTCGTCACCCAGTGTCCCCACAGACAGATCCATTGTTTGTTTCTGCTTCCCCTCTGGCCTCCTGACGTGGTTCTGTTTTATGACCTCATAGCAGCAGCAGGAGCTGACAGCAACCCTTCTGAGGCCCAGAGGGGTGGGTTTTTGCGTCAGTGGCTTGGGCGCCGAGGGAGTAAGAAGTAAGGGCGAGGCTCGTGTCATAGGCAGATGTGGTCTCCCCTCCGTCTTTCAGGAAGTCTCCCACTTGATCCCGAGTCAGGATGCCCTGACGTGCCTGGGGCGGTTCTGAGCACCTCTGTTTTGCGTCTCCTGACTCCGCTGGGCGGGAGGAAGCTCGGGGTGGTTACGATCCCAAGCAGGAGGACATAAACGGGCTCTCGATTCCCACTCTGCCTTTGACACAGCCATGCGGATATCCCAAGTCCTGGCAGGGGGCTCTGTTTGTGGATTTGTGACTTCGACCTCCCATGTTGACGGCAGACACTTTTACTTTCCGTTTTGCTCGGTAAGCGCTCAGCTTCCTGCCTGAGAGGCTCCAGACTTCTCGTTTCGGTGACTCAGAAATCACATCTGCTCTCCTCTCTCCTCCTCCTCATGACGTCACGCGCCTGCTTTCTGGCAGGGACCACAGTCTGTAATCCCAGTTAGAGCCGCCTTCTGACCTGCAAGTGACTTTCCTCGGGAATCCACGGGCGGCTGTGGCCGCGGGGAGCAGAGTCCCAGATCTCTCAATCTGGTCGAAGTCACCTTGGGTTTTGCTTGCTTTCCAGGTTGCGGTGCGTTTGTCCACAAAGGCTGCAGAGAAAGTCTGGCCTCCTGCGCAAAGGTCAAAATGAAGGTAAGACATTCCTTGGGGTGGGGAGAGGCCTGGTTGGGGTTTTTGTTTGTTGTGATCATTTGGTACCAACCCTGAGACCAAAACAACCAAACAGTCATTCTTCTCAGAAGCGACCAAGTCTCTTCTTCACTGACACACTTGGGAATCTGTGGCTCTTGGAAAACAAAATGCTTCAGAAATCTTGTGTTAAATGCACATTTCTCTGCATTTCGAGCGTCTCTGTGTTGCTGTCGAAGTGGTTTTGCTCCGAAGCATGCCTGCGGGCCCGCCCTGCTGCTCACACACACCTGCTGCGGGCAGCAGGTGGCACTCGGACTTTGAGCTGCTAGGGAGCTCGGTGGGGGAGTGTTGGACGTGGCCTGCCCGTGGCACCGGTGTCCACAAGGCACGGAGCAGTTGGCTCTGGTCACCTGATGCAGGAAGAGGCAGCGCCCGGCGTGGGGAGGGATTGCGCGCGCTGTGTGGTAATGGGCACCACTTGTCGGATGGCCCTTCGAGAGAGTGGGTTTGGGGGCCCACCTTCGAGGTAGCCTCCGTGGTTTTTGGTGTTCTAGTCCCCTGTAAATAAATGTCCTTCTGTCCTTGTCAGAGGAGCACTCTCCAGCTGCATCTACACGATGCGCAGCCTGCCGTGGGCTTCGTCAGAGAGCAGACGTCTGTCTTGCACAGCAGCCTCACACTAGACTGAGTGTGCGTTAGAGTCCCCTCGGGGACCTGCCGAAAGACCATTCCCTGCTCCCCTCTCCCCTGCACACTCCAGGGTGGGGCCCAGGAATTTGCATTTCTATGTTCCCAGATGATGCAGGGTCCGAGAGTCTGAGCCGGTGTAGAAATGACACACTTCTGTGCCCCAGATCTTACCAGCCCATCGACACCAGTTATGGTTGGCTCTCGAAGTATTTTTGTTGATGATGCAGTTTGTGTGTTTTTTAATCCCATTTCGTATCTAATTTCTCCTGAAAAAATTGGAAGATCTCACAACCCTGGTTATTTCCTCGTAGCCGGCGTTCCCGATTTTCAGCTGAATCTTTTTCCTATTCTCCGCAGTACCTCTCACCTCCTCAGAGTTTCTGCGTAATCCCCGGGGGCTGAGTGGCTGCCGCGTTCTGGCAGGGATGTGCGGGTTCCCTCCCCACCCCGCCCCCGTGCCTCCTCCTCCTGTTGCCCGCCTAAGCCCACAGGCACTGAGTTTGTGATCTGACGGGACTTAGTGCTATTGGGAATGTGCTAGGCTCTGTAGAAGGCTGACGGTAGAGGTAGCGTCTCCCCTATAAGAGAACATAGCCTAAAAGGGAGAGTTCGATTTTTAATTTGGAAGTAACCTGTGTCCACTAATAGTTTATCTCAGAGTAAATTGGTTCACTCTGTAATTGCTCACACACAGCGTTTCTGTCACGTGCCCCAACAAAAATCTCAACTGAAATTCGTACCGTACCTAAGGACCATTTAGTGCCTTGTTGATGCTGGTCACTGGAGAAACAGAGATGAAAAAGGCACAGATGCCGCCCTTCAGGGGAAGACGGCAGGCCGACAGTGACCGTAAATGAGGGCAGCTAGGTGGAGATCTGTGCCGGATCCTCAGGGCGTGCCAGGCACTGCCTTGGGTGAGGAAAAGAAAGGAGGTGATGGGGGGCTTTACCCAGGAGGCGGTTCTCCCGTGGTCTTGAAATCAAGGGAGACCCTGGGGCGAAGGGGCACAGGGCATTCCTGGTAGAAGAAGCAGCCTTTGCGGGGTCCTGGCGCTTGGCAGATTCCGCGTGAAGAGCCCATGGGGGTGGTGGGTGGGATGCCGAGCACCATCGGCCGCGAGCCAAGCTGGAGCTCTCTCCCTGCTCTGGGCTCCTTGAGACCTGACCCAGGAGAATTGTGGGTGCGGTCCTCATGTGTTTATTTATTTCCTTTTTCCTTCAGCAGCCCAGAGGGAGCCTTCAGGCACAGGACACGTCTTCGCTGCCCACAGTCATCATGAGAAGCAAGCGTAAGTCACTCAGTCCTCCTGTCCTTCAGCCCTTCTTGACTCTCTGGTTCAGGACTTAAACACACTTTTGTAATATTCATCTGTTATTCTTAATCAAGATTTGAGCATTTATTTTGTGGTAAGTTAGGGCTGCAGGTGATTGACCAAAAGCCTGGTATTCCCCCATCAAACTCCCTTGGAAGTCTTCTAGACTAGTATGTGTGTTGGCTTGAAAGGCGCCTGTGTCTGTGTGTTGAAGCGGGTGATCCCACGCATCTCGAAATTCCTCTTCCATGAGTTGACAGCGACACTCGTTTTTGGCGCCTCAGGGTTGCGCAGAGAAAATGAGATCTTACTGATGAAGCTTCTTCGTTTAGGGGCACCTGGGTGGCTCAGTCAGTTGAGCATCTACCATTGGCTCAGGTCATGATCTCGGGGTCCTGGGATTGAACCCCGTGTCAGACTCTCTGCTCAGCAGGGAGCCTGCTTCTCCCTCTGGTCCTCCCCACTGTGTGTTCTCGCTCCCTCTCTCATATTCTCAAATGAATAAATGAATAAATAAAATCTTTTTAAAAAAAATTTTTTTTAGGGGCGCCTGGGTGGCTCAGTGGGTGAAAGCCTCTGCCTTCGGCTCAGGTCATGATCCCAGGGTCCTGGGATCGAGCCCCACATCATGCTCTCTGCTCAGCGGGGAGCCTGCTTCCCTTCCTCTCTCTGCCTGCCTCTCTGCCTACTCGTGATCTCTGTCAAATAAATAAACAAAATCTTTAAAAAAAAATTTTTTTTATAATTTAGTTTATATAAACTGCTTATAATTTAGTTTATAAACTGTGAAGTTAAGTAAATAGTTCTTTCTCCCCAAGGACTTCAAGTGGTACACAGAATTCAGTCATTCACGTAGTACTGTCTTTAGCCAGCGTGTGCAAGGCTCCGCTTTGGTTTTACTTAATGTTCTCCCTTTCTCATTCCCCATCCCCAACCTCCTTCCTTCCCCTCCGTAGTGCCCATATAGTTATTTAACATATAGCCTTGTGATCTGCTCTGTCTTTGCTCAGATGTTTGTGTCTGAAAATATCTTAACTGCTTTGTGTGTTGCACTTGTATTAGGTAAGACTTACCCTTCTTTGTTCTTTTTTCTCAGTCTGTCATCTTATGATCTGTGCGTGTTCTTAGGTATGAGCTGCTGTTTCATTCAGCTGCATGGCGTTCTTCCGTAAACCTGTTCCATAATTTAATTATCGGTTCCCCTGAAGATGGATATCTAAGTCATTTCCAGCTGCCGCCACAAATAATGCGGTACTGGGTATCATCTTCATGTGCTCTCCGGGAACCCATGTGGGATTCCCCCTAAGGCAGTGTTTCTCAAAGTGTAGTTTCTGGATCGTTAAGACGTGCACATTCTTGGGCCCTATTGACACCTACTAAGTCAGAAGTCCCAGAGGTGGAGCCTAGTGATCTGTGCTCAAACAGATCGTCTGGGCGAGTGTGATGCACACTCAAGCTTGAGGACCACCGCTCCACCCGGACTTGCTCTGAGTTCTTCCAGAAGCGTGCGAATTCCCTATAGGTGGGTTAAGTCTGCTGATGCTCACTCTTTGCTCGTAGATTACTACAAGAGAGGTTTTGCCGGACCGACACCCACTGTAAGCAGTGATCCAGACCATCCCACTACCTTCTACCAGTCTACTCTTCCGTAAACATTTTTTCTTGGACATTATCCCTTGCTTCAGAACTAGCATCTTTCTTTTTTGTTTTAAATACCTATTGTATGTTAGGTTATGTATGCTACCTCTGACCCCCACAAGTATTCTCACTCCTGTTTCACACCCCCTGACGCAGTATGGTGGTGAATAGTACAGATTGTGGATTCAAGTCGTGTGGGTTTGAGTCCCAGCCCTGCCAGTCAGTAGCCGTGTGACCTTGGGCATTTACTACATCCCTCCTCTGAACAGATGAAAACCGTTTCAGTGGGTGATTGTCAGGTTTAAATGAGATCACACCCGTCAAGAACCTAATAGTAGGCCTCCTGGTAGGCCTCCAGAGTGTTAGCTTTGGCTACTACCATCATCCCCACACAGGGAAACTGAGGCTCGGAAATATTACGTCACTTCCCTGACTGGAGTAGGGATTGGCTTCAAACAAGGGAAAGCTGTTATTTTCACCCCGTTATTCTGTCCTTTAAAAATAAAGTTCTTGGGACACCTGGCTGGCTGAGTCCGTGCGACTCCCGATCTCAGGATTGTGAGTTCAAGCCCCACACTGGGTGTGGAGGTTACTTTAAAAAAAATTTTTTTTTAATTAAAAAAAAAAAAAAAAAACAGTTGTTCTTTATCACTTTTAGGGTTCTACATAGCATGACTTCATTCTGATTCTCCAGCCTTTTCTACGGATTCTTTATATGCATCCTCTTTCCTTTTTTCCCTTTGTTCTCTTCTACTTGTGCTGTACTACACGGTTATCTCCGCCTTCGTTCATACAGTTCTCCTCATCACAATGTCCTGTTTTCCTTCCGACCTACCCACATCCATACCATTCTCCGAGAGCCAGCGTCTCCTCCTCCGTCAGATAGTATCTGCTCTCTGACTCCTCTCCTGAAACACCGAGGATGGGCCCCAGGCCCTTGGACACTTCAGCACATTCCCTTCTCTGCCATTGCACTCACTCCCTGTTGGAGCAAACCCACATCTCACGCTTCTCGTGTGCTTCCTGCCAAAAGGGTCTGGTCATACGGTCACATAGCGTGTTTCTGATGTTTTATTGTCTCACCTTCCTCTAAGTCAAATTTGAATTGGAAATTAATGGTTTCGTTAATTTTTTATTAAGTCAGAAACCTCCCACAAGACCATGAATGTCACAGCAGCCGTCCCAGTCTTATTTGTTGCAGCTCCTGACACTTGCGGGGATAGAAAGATCATGCAGCTCGAGTCTGGGGCACGAGCTCAGTTACCAAGGAAAAGTAATTTGTTAGCCAAATGCCAGGGTGACCACTCAAGCGTAACATGAGAGCTTCGGCTTCCTCTCTGGGCATGTTCAGGAGACCTGCACGGTATGAGAACAAAACGGTGACACTAGCGTTTTGCATTTTCCTCAGCTGTAAATTAAAGTAATTGGTCAGAGTCTGCGTTCTCAAACAATGTGCAGAAGGATCACTTGGGGAGCTCCTAAAACGTGTGGACTCCTGGGTCCCACCCACAAGGGATGAGAAGGGCTGGGGTCTGCGAATCTCACAAGCACCTCCCACGTGGCTAGATAGGCACTCGCGCAGAATGCTGGGCTCTCTCACCTCTGGTTTCTTCTATCCAGAAAATTTTCCCAATTTTATTTTATTTTACCTTGAGTTACTTTCTGTTTTTAAATATACTATTACCCGGGGCGCCTGCGTGGCTCAGCAGTTTAAAGCCTTTGCCTTCGGCTCAGGTCATGATCCCAGGGTCCTGGGATTGAGCCCCAAGTCAGGCTCTCTGCTCAGCAGGGGGCTTGCTTCCTCCTCTCTCTCTCTCTCTCTCTCTCTCTCTCTCTCTCTCTCTCTGCCTGCCTCTCCACCTACTTGTGATCTCTATCTGTCAAATAAATAAAATCTTTTAAAAAAATAAATAAATAAATATACTATTACCCGTGATTCTTTATCTACATTGCCTAATCTCCGTGCCACCCCACAGCTAACCACTCTTCTTAGTTTTATATGTCTCTTCAAGTTTCTTTATGAAAGTAAAGCAAATACAAATTTGGCTTATTTTTCTTTTTTTAAAACATGAGAGTCTGTTGTGCAACTTTGTTCCGGGCCTTGATTCCCCCCCCCCCCCCCACAGTATTATCTTGGAGATCCTGTGTCAGTTCATGGAGAGTGTACTCATTTGTTTTAAAGCTACATAGTATGTCAGTGTATGATGTACCATAATTTGTTAATTCATCTCCTTTTGCTACTTATATTTTGCTTTAAGCAACAGCATTGCATTGAATGACTTTGGACATGTGTCCTTTTAAGCATTACGAGTATGTCTTACGGAATGAACATATCCAGGGCGCCTGACTAGCTCAGCGGTGGAGCATGGGACTCTTGATCTCGGGGTTGTGAGTTCAAGCCCCATGTTGGGAGCAGAGATTACATTAAAAAAAGAAAGAAAGGTAGAATAAACCTATCCTAAAGAGGAATTACTGGATCAAAGGATATGTAGGCATTTGTAGTTTCAACAGACACTGCCAAATGGTCTTCTGTAGAGTTTTTGTACCCACTTACACTCCCAGGACAAAGCTGTTTTAAAGAAATTTGTTCTCTTTGGCATTTGTTAGATGAGTCACTACTCATGAGCTTGGATATGTGGTTCAGGCGGTGTCCTCTCTTATCTTTACAGCCTCACAGCCCAAGGAGCGGCCTCGATCTGCAGTCCTCCTGGCGGATGAAGCCACTGCCATTCCCATGTTTGCCAACAGACGGTCCCAGCAGAGTGTCTCACTCTCCAAAAGTGTCTCCATACAGAACATTGCTGGGTAAGTGGGGATTTTAAGATCTCACAGTTGACATCTAGGTGACAAGAGCTTAATAACCGTATCATTTGACAGATTCTTCGAGGGAAAAAATACGTAATATAATGACGTGCACACCCCCGTGTTACAGACATGGAGAATGGGGAGTGCGTTTTGATGCACTGTCATGCCCACCATTTTGTAGCAGGGACCCCTTTAAACACGCCGTCAGCCACGTTGTCCTGGGATCGAGCCCCTCATTGGATTCTCTGCTCAGCAGGGAACCTGCTTCTCCCTCTCTCTCTGCCTGCTTCTCTACCTGTGATCTCTCTCTCTCTAATAAATAGATAAAATCTTATAAAAAAAAAAAAAAAAAGCTAGTCTTTAAGTACCATGAGGAGATGAGGGCCGCTGCTGGAGCGGCTTCTGCAATTTGACTTTTCAGGGGGGGCACCTGGGTGGCTCAGTGGGTTAAAGCCTCTGCCTTCGGCTCAGGTCATGATCTCAGGGTCCTGGGATCGAGCCCCTCATTGGATTCTCTGCTCAGCAGGGAACCTGCTTCTCCCTCTCTCTCTGCCTGCTTCTCTACCTGTGATCTCTCTCTCTCTAATAAATAAATAAAATCTTATAAAAAAAAAAAAAAAAAAAGCTAGTCTTTAACTAAAATAATAAAGTGTTAAATGACTCTGGCTTGCTTTTGTGTCCTACCAGAAACGTTCCCTGGGGGCCTCCTGTGCTAGCGGGTGGGTTGGGGTTTGAGAAAGTCCCAGGGAGTACAGTTTATTAGAAAGTGCTTGGTCTAAAATTATTTAGAGAATAAGGAGTTAAAGTTAGTGGTCACACGGTGAGTTTCAAATGGAGAATTTTCTTGTATACTGTGTGTAGAGTTTAAGGGAATAAGATTCTCTTGTTACCTATCATTAAAAAAAAATTGAAGGCTCAAGAAGTTCAAGTTTGCAGCGATGTTAGAGATCTCTGACCTTCATTAATAGTTTATGTTGCATGTTGCTGAGTACCTGACTTAAGTAATTTGTCTTCCATCACTGGGTACTTACAGACAGCTGTCATTTTAGAGTTTTTCAGGTACTCATTTGAGAAAGCAGACCATGGTTTATCAATGTGTATTTGACAGTAGGTGCTTCTTTTTGTCTCCAGAGTTGGCAATGATGAGAACATATCAAACACCTGGAAATTCCTGTCTCATTCAACAGACTCACTCAATAAAATCAGCAAGGTCAATGAGTCAACAGAGTCGCTAACTGACGAGGGTAAGAGGAAATTATGGCGTGTGTCTTATCCCTGAATGTAAGTGTTAATGGAGTAACAGTACCTGCCTTTTGCTTACTCCTGTGAAGGTTCTCTAACTTGTCTATGAGTCACCAAACGCTTTATAATGAATAGTATCAGACTTACCAGTTGTTAGATAGTTGTCCGTTGAGGGATGTCATGGAGTTTCCTGTGGTCGCTCTCTAGTACACACACACTTTCTGGCCCTAAACTTTTGGCACACGGTCAGCCGGAGCTCTCTGGGCAGGTTGTAACCCTACTCTCTTCAACTAGTAAAGTTACCAGGTCCTTTTCAGTTCCTTATTCACATGGGAATCCCGAATCTCAGTCACATTTGACTTGTGTGATCTCTTACCCAGAGCCATGAATGTGGAGTGTGTCACTCCCAAACAGGAAATGATTCTTTCTGGTACTAGACTGTGCGCTCTGTAAACGTTGCGTGTTAATGCTCTGTGTGTATCTTACGACATTATCACCCGAGGAGAGCCCGGGGTAGGCTTTGGAGAGCTCACAGACCCCAGATTTTGATCCTGATCTTCTGGTATTTTGAGGAGTAGGTACAGACATGAATGAAGGACAGCTAATGGGGGACTTTGAGATGGAATCCAAGCAACTAGAAGCCGAGTCCTGGAGTCGCATCGTGGACAGCAAGTTTCTGAAACAGCAAAAGAAAGATGTGGTCAAACGGCAAGAAGTGATTTATGGTGAGACTCTCCATTTGCCCTGCTAATACTGGGTTTGCATCGTGCAGCAGTTTTTATCAGGGGAGCCGCTAGACCATGGAAAGCCAATTTCCAAGTATGTAGCATGTCAGAGATTTTCCTTAAAAACTTTGAGGTCTAGGGACACGATCTTAATTTCTGTCCTTTCCTCTTTAAAATTGTTTCCTTCAATTTCGTTGAACATTTTATTGACTGTGAGTGCTTACTTACACGGTCACCCTGGAAAGAGATCTCTTGTGGCTGTTCAGTTTGCTTCCTCAGCTGCACGGGAAACCAAGCACGAGTCATTTCTAGGAAATGGGACACAGTAAATTACGAAAGGCTCTGAATCCAATGAAGACCACTTGGGAAACCACCATTTAAGAGTGATGGAGTCCAGTACGCTGTCAGAAAACACTGTCAGGTCACACGAAGTAGAGGGATAAGATGAGAACACTTGAGGGGAGAGACAGCTTTTGACCTAGTTTTTAAGTCTAAATTGTGCTCTAAACACACAAAGTGGGTGTTTAAACCAAAGTGGGCTCTCAGTGGCCACGGATGACCTTTGAAGGAGAATCCTTTAAAGTTACGTTGCTGACCTTTGAGCTCTGTCGTCCTTCAGAGTTGATGCAGACCGAGTTGCACCACATCCGGACGCTGAAGATCATGAGCGACGTGTACAGCCGCGGGATGATGACGGAGCTGCTCTTCGAGCAGCAGACGGTGGAGAAGCTGTTCCCCTGCTTGGACGAGCTGATCAGTATCCATAGCCAGTTCTTCCAGAGGATCCTGGAGCGGAAGAAGGAGTCTCTGGTAGATAAAAGCGAAAAGAACTTTCTCATCAAGAGGATGGGAGATGTGCTGGTGAATCAGGTGAGCAGCGGGAAAGCTCTTTCCCACAAAATGGGGTAAAAAGTGAAGCTTTGCGGTTCAGCAGCCACTCATTGACGTCCTGGCTCTACTGTTCGTTATCTGTGTAAGCTTAGGTTGCTGAACCTCTCTGAGCGTCAGGTGTCCTTTTCTGTAAGTGAGGACAGATTTTCTCTCCTAACACTATTTTTTTTTAATTAAAAGGAATGTGTACACAAAATATCTAGCATATGGGGGAGACACTCAGTCCATTTTCCTTTCTCGGCATCCAGACCGTCACTCGAGACAGGGTAGTTTAAGAAATCAAAAGCTCTCTGTTGGAACCTCGGTGTCCCCTGTGCCTCAAATCAAAAGGAACTCATTTATCTCAAAACCAGCTGAGCATAGAAAATTGATTAAGAAAGTATCTGTAAAATAATTCATAAAGTAGATCTTGCTGATATTTTCATCAAGGTTTCAACCCTACTCAGAAACAGCTGGGCCAGAAGTTATTTTGCAAAAAGTGTTGCTGGTTTAACCTTCACAGACAAAGCGGCCCAGCACACTGGCCACCAGCTCTCCCTCCCCAGCAGGTCTGGGCTGGAGAAGCGGAGGCTTCATTGCTGGAACATTTGCCCGAAAACTGGAAGGGTTGTCCTTCCCTTATGTTCTTCTGCCCATGCCCCTCACCTCATTAATTCACTAGTGTATTCATTCATCCCTTTCCCACATATTCACTAGGCGTCTCTACCGCAAAGGCAGACACAGCATCGACCTGTGCCTCAGGGTCCCGTGCTCCCAAGGGAACAAAGGCATGGCAGGAGGTAAACGCACACACAGTGCAGCCCACGCTGGAAGGCAGCTGTCTGCCACAAATGGGGCCTCAAAGTGGGAGCCGTCAGCTCTGCAAGTGAGGCCCTTTCCTCCCCAAACATCCCCTCCCAGCATTTTCCATGTCCCTTTCTCTGCCTTCAGACCTGCGCAGGTGCCTCATCTAACCTTAACTGGTGTTGTCTGTGGCTCTCTGTACTAGTGCCCATCCTCTAGTAAGATCTCTGACGGTAGGATTCCTGTCTTAGCCCCCATGGCATCCATTTGTTGGTTCTCTGTGGGAGTTCTAGAATCACCCTGTTAGAGCACTTGCTTCGTGGAGGGAACAGAGCACCTGAAATCTCTGCCTCAGCCTCCCCGTGGTGAAGGGGAGAGAGAGAAGCTGCCACCCTGAACCTTTCCTCGAGTTCTTCTGGTAAGGATCAGTTTGCGTGGCCTTCAGAGGTTTTCAGTACAGGGGAAGTCGATGCGCTTAGCGTGCGTCACACAGACCCCATGCAGAAACTCACTGGTTTGCCCCAAAGTGAGCGTTTCTTCAGGTGGGCCATTGAGATCGCACATGTTTTAGGAATGATGAAAGGCCACGCAGAATTGTTAGCACTGCTGGCCTGAGGTAGATGAGCTGAGCAGATCCCTCGGTAATAGCCGTTTCTGATACCTTCCTAACTTATCCAGGTGAAGTCTGTAAGTCTGTCTCACAGGAAAACTTCTAGTGAGCCTCCCTGTCTTACCACCGTGCTTACAACAAATGGAAATTAGAACACATTTTGCATGACTTAAGTGCACAGTACGTAGGTATTTCTGGGTGGTTGTTTTTTAAAATATATATAACATGTTTAATGAAGTAAATTCATATGCCATATAATGCCCCGTTGAAAGTCTACAGCTCAGAAAAGAACGTCCCGCTCCGTGGTTTCCGCTGTGTCCGCGGAGTTAGGCGGCCGTCGTCACACTTAGTTCAGAGTATCTTCATCACCCGACCCCTGTCTGCCTCCGCCGAGGCGTCCGCTGATCTACTCACTGTCCCTGTGGGCTCGTCTAGTCTGGACTTACTGTGTAAATGGGGTAAAACAACATAGGACCTGGCAGTTGGTTTGTTTCGTGTAGGATAATGCTTTCAAGGTTCATCAGTATTGTGACATGTATCCATCTTCCACTCCTTCTCGCGGCTGAATAATGGTCCATCCTGTGTGTCTGCCACGTCGTATTTATCCTTGGAGGGACATTTGGTTTCTCTCTACTTGGGGGCACTTGGGAATATGGCGGCCGTGAACTCTCATATCCAGGTGTTTGTGTGCTGCAAGTTCTGTGCCTTGGAGCGGAACTGCCGGTCACACAGTGACTGCGTAGCTTTCTGGGGAACTTCCAGACTGTTTCCCAAAGCTGCTGTGCCATTTTAATCTTTGGGGGGGAATTCTTGGGGAAGCATGCTTGGGTTTTACAAATAGACTGGAAACCGCATGCAAAATGTTGGTAAAAGTTCAGCCCCCTGAGCTCCGACTTAACTTCTGTTCTCTTTCCTCCACAGTTTTCAGGGGGGAACGCAGAGCGCTTAAAGAAGACGTATGGCAAGTTCTGTGGGCAGCACAACCAGTCTGTGAACTACTTTAAAGACATTTATACCAAGGATAAGCGGTTCCAGGCGTTCGTGAAGGTACGGGTGGGAACCCTGGAACTCCGCACCACGGTCCGGGGCACTGGCGCGGTCAGGGACAGGGACGGAGCATCCCTCTTGTAGCTCCTGATGATCCGTTCTGTCCTTTGCAGAAGAAGATGAGCAGCGCCGTGGTGAGGAGGCTGGGCATCCCAGAGTGCATATTGCTGGTGACGCAGCGGATCACCAAATACCCAGTTTTATTCCAAAGAATACTGCAGTGTACCAAAGGTGAGCCTCCCTCCTAACCCAGTCACGTCCGTCCGCGGGCTGGTTCCCGTCTGTCCGGCAGCGCAAGAGGCCCCAAGGAAGAGCTCCCTCAGGCTCTCGCAGGTCTATGAGAGAGCCTGTGTTTTGCCTTAAAAACCATTTTCTTAAGTGAAAATTTGAAATGCTTTGTCGCCAGATGACAGGTTTCTCTCTCCCAGCGAACTCTGCTCGTAGGCAGTTCCGTTGAAAGTGAAGTAAAACAAAGAAGTTAAAAAATTGTTGCTCCTCTCTCTTCCTGAAGTTGTCGGGTCCTCCTGCTTCAGGACGTGGCGTGGAATGGCGTGTTGTGTCTGTCAGTGAAAACATCTCTCTTTATTTAGAATTAACTTTATGACAGGGATTGGCAGGTGACCTTTGCTTTGTTGGTCCCACTGTATCCGACAGGCTACCAGCCTGTCCCCAGAAGGAAAATGGTAGTGTGGAGCGAGGAAGTTGGTTTCCCCCTCTTTGTCGGAGAGGTTCGATTAAAATGGGACTGTTCCTTCCTTCCAAGACAATGACGTGGAGCAGGAGGATCTGGCTCAGTCCCTGAGCCTGGTGAAGGACGTGATAGGAGCTGTGGACAGCAAAGTGGCAAGTTACGAAAAGAAAGTGCGTCTCAATGAGATTTATACGAAGACAGACAGCAAGTCGATCATGCGGATGAAGAGCGGCCAGATGTTTGCCAAGGAGGATCTGAAGCGGAAGAAGCTTGTGCGGGACGGGGGTGTGTTTCTGAAGAACGCGGCGGGAAGGTTGAAAGGTAAGGCTCGCTCTTCGAGTCTACGCGCGTACCAGAGAGCAGGCAAAGTTCAGAGGTTTTTGTTAGAAATCCACCGCCAGGGGGCGCCTGGGTGGCTCAGTGGGTTAAGCCTCTGCCTTGGGCTCAGGTCATGATCCCAGAGTCCTGGGATCGAGTCCCACATTGGGCTCTCTGCTCAGCGGGGAGCCTGCTTCTCTCTCTCTCTCTCTCTCTCTGCCTCTCTGCCTACTTGTGATCTCTGTCTGTCAAACAAATAAATAAAATCTTAAAAAAAAAAGAAAATAGAAATCCACCGCCAGGTTTTTCCTAGGGATCCCACATCCACACGTCACACTGGAGCAGCGGACCTTTAATTGTTCCTAATTTTGTATCAGAAAGGATGAGGTTGAGATAAATTAGGAGATCATAAACTCCTCCAGTAAGATAACAAGAGAATAGCGCAGTTAGGGAAAATGGAAAAAAAAAATTTTTTTTAAAGCAAAGGTGGCCCCAAGGGCGTGCAGGTGGGGGGCAGCCCCCGAGAGTAGAGGGCAGAGGGGGAGCTGGTGTGCGGGTCTGCATGTTGCAGTGTGGCTCTCGTGTTGAGAATCAGGAGTGGGAGACCATAAGGACAGGCCCAGGAGCAGTGGCATCCAAAGAGGAACAAGATAAAAAAAACTCATGCCAGCCTGGAAAATGAAAGAACGGTTGCAAAGGAGCACATTGCTACTTGCGGAGAGCTGGTGGCCCTGCCCTGGAAGCCAGTGACTGTCTCATGTGCCTCGAGTCAGTCGGTGGCGGTCGTGTCCTGCAGCACGGGTCAGCGGCTCAGAGAGCCCCAGGAAGGAGGGAGGGGGCTCAGGAGGAGGTGAGATGGCGGAGGGAAAAGCAGGTCAGTTGTCGTCTGCAGCCACTTAGCACTGACCCCCCCCCCCACTTACCATGGCCGTCGTGAGGAGTGTGGCCTAGGTCTCGAATGCTCATGTTTTCCTTCAAGCTCATAGGAAGACACACCTGCCTCCCGAACTTAATGTTCTCTGTGCACCGTTGTTGTAAACCTTCTGGTGTTATGTCTCTTGTGGAGAGACACTCGTTATATATTGTGAAGGTCATAAAGCAGTTTAAAAAGGAAAAAAAAAAAAGCCAAGTGTAAGATTACTACAAGAACCCAGGCTATTAAGGAAAGCATGTTCCCCTACAGAAATGGGCAACACTTCTGGGGTTGGGGTCTCTGGGAACAGTTGCAAGAAGGGGAAGCCCCATCAGGTAGCGATTCAGAGTCCGAGATTAAAAACACATCACTTGTTCTGAAGAGAGATGGTAGAGGACTTTTCAGCTCCCAAGACGACCTTTCCTAGAGGAAACGTGTGCTTCATTCATACCAACAAGATAGATTATTAAACTTGATGATATTCATCTCTTTTATCTTCCTCTAAGCACGAAATCATAAAAGATACTAATTTCCCATTTAGTTTTAATTTTTTTCTTTTAAAGGTTGAGCTACTTCAAGTTTAAGGAAGTAACTGTGAGGTGTGTTAATTCATCTCTACATCTGATTTTTTTTTTAATAAATCTTTTCATTGAACCTGTACTGGCTAGGCCTGTGTGACAGCTCTGATTTCCCCAGAAGCCCTGAGCACACCCATCCTGGCCCCCGTGAGCTGCATGCACGAGGCAGGTCGGCCCCGAGCCGGCAGCTCCGCTGACAGAAAAGCAAGGCTGGGCGTGAAATCTGGGCCTCTCTCTCAGCTCTCGTGGGTCAGAACACTGCAGGCGGCTGCTGTCAGCTGCTACCCTGGAGGCTTAACTAGCCTTTCACCATGTTTGGAGCAAACAGTATAGATGTCCCAGGTCTCATAGGCGAACGAAGCTGGCCATGCCTAGAAGTCAGGCTCCAAATGAAGAGGCCGGTGAGGAGGTACTTGTCCACAGTCTGCAGGTGCTGGAACCAAGAGCCGCACTAAGCACTCGGGGAGGCAGTGGGGACTGGCACTGAGTTAGACCCAAAGGCTGAAGGGCAGGCACCCCCGGCTCTCAGGCAGCAGAGACGGTGGCAGGGAGGGCTGGGGCTGTGGGCAAAGAGTGGCTTCATCAGATGGAGACACGGACATGCGACACTGCGGCTTGGGGTGGGCAAAGAATGGGTTCCAGACAGAAGGTTTTCAGCAGGGAAGGGATACATTAGCTTGTTTTCTAGTGGAGGCAGTGAGAGAGCCGCCAGAGTGGGGAGTGGCTGGTGACAGGGAGAGGAGCGAGCACACTGGGCCTGGGGTGCCAGAGTGCATGGAAAGGAAGGGAAGGAGCCTTTCAGAGAAAAGACTGAGCCCTTCCTGCTTCCAGCAGATGTGGCTCTCTGCTCCACAGTGAACTTGAACTAGGTGATCCCTGAGGCTCCCTCCCTCCTTCCAGGCCCAGTCCCCAGATGCTGGGAGAAGCCCGAATCGGGACTCTTCCCGCACTGCCCCGTTGGGACTGGCCTTGAGGCAGCCGGGCCCTTGGGAAGCGCCTGCCTCCTCTTGCAGGGCCCTGAGTTTCCTGGAGCGGCCGCTGCCTGGAGCCAGCGCTTGGTTCTTTCCTGGGCACATACACACTCGTTCCCAGAGTGACAGCGAACGGATTCCAGCTGTGGGCATGAAGCTGTGGTCAGCCAGTGGCAGCGGGAAGGCTCTCTGGCCTGAAGGCCTCCGGTGCAGCTGGGGTTGGTGGGGAGCCCTTTCTCCTCGGGCGAGCTCGTGCCAGGAACAGCCAGGCTTGCGCTGGGCACCCACCGAGAGGGACGGGCTTGTTTTTCTCTGATCCACTGACGCTGATTCCAGAAGCCTCAGCATCCAACGAAGTGGAAACTTGCGTTTTGAAACTTCTTTTTTTCTTTTTTGGCCGCTACCCAAATTATTTAAAAGTAAACTTTGAGAAACTTGTCAAAACTAATAGCCCACAGAATAGTCATCGGCAGCCTGGTTGGTCTAGGCTGAAACCGTACCACCCAGGAACCCGCTGTCCTTGCTTCTACTCTCTTCGTAGCCGTGCCGTGAAGTACACAGAGGGGCTTCCCACTGTGGCAGATGCAGAGAGAAGGCCAGAAGGGGCCTGGCCACCTGGGAGGGGGCTGCTTAAGTCAGCTCCGCTCTTTCCCCAAGGACTTGTAGGGGGAAGGGGCCAGCCTCCTAGCTCTCTGGAGATGCCGGACTTTGTCTTTGAGGGCGCACTGGAAAATGCCTCTTCGTGTTCTCTGACAGAGCGAGAGTTTGTGGCATTTTCTGGATTACTAGATCCAAGTAGAGATCTCACTTTGGCTTTTGTTTGAGTTGAGAGGAAGAGCAGGCCGCTTCTGTGGTAGAGAGCCATTGAGGCTGGCTAGGATCTCTTCGAGCCGGGGGACGAGCCATTGTGTTCCCATGTACCTATGAAATGAGAGGGCACTGCGGAGCTGTTCTGTCCTGCGGGTGTGGGGGAAGTCTGCCTTTCATTAGACTGAGGTATTTTTTTAGTTAACATATAATGTTATTATTTGTTTCAGGGGTACAGGTCTGTGAATCATCAGTCTTACACAATTCACAGCACTCGCCATAGCACATACCCCAGTGTCCATCACCCCACCCTCTTCCCCTCCAGCAACCTTCTGTTTTTTTCCTGAGATTAAGAGTCTCTTATGGTCCGTCTCCCTCTCTGCTTTCATCTTGTTTCATTTTTCCCTCTCTTTCCTCTATGATCCTGTCTTGTTTCTAAAATTCCTCATATCAGAGAGATCATGTGATAATTGTCTTTCTCTGATTGACTTCTTTCACTTAGCATAATACCCTCTAGTTCCATTCATGTCATTGCCCATGGCAAGATTTCAGGGGGGTTTTTTGATGGCTGTGTAATACTCCGTTGTATATATACACCGTGTCTTCTTTACCCACTTCTCTGAGACTGAGGTATTTCTGTATATCACCTACTGGCGGCTCTCCGGTCCGCTCTTCCACGCCTCTCCCAGTATTAGGATCGGAAGTCGAGGAGTATTGTGACCTGAGTATTTATTTGGTGGAATATGTTGCTATTTACTATTTCTTAAAGTCCTTCCCAGTTTTATTCTTTAAAGTATTTTGTTCTGCAAGTCTCGCCTTATGGGATGTATCTTTCCAGAACAGAGTCCGCAGGCTTTGTCAAGATAAGGCTTTGGCGATAACTACCATTTAAAAATGCCTCTGAAAATCTAATGACCCGATGTGGCTCGTGCAGAAGAGTAAACCTGTCTCCTTGGAAGAGTGCAGAGCACTCCCCTTCCTGATTTGCTCTGTGGGCTGGATTGCTGAGTTGGCCTCTAACTTGCTTCCCTGTTAAGTAATCCTTGTCCTTTCTCTCCTTCCCCCCTTGACAGAGGTTCAAGCAGTTCTGCTTACCGACATTTTAGTGTTCCTTCAAGAGAAAGACCAGAAATACGTCTTTGCATCATTGGTAAGCTGAACTGTCAGTCTCTTCCATTTGGAATGAATATTTGAAACAGCACGTGTGGGGGTTCCGAACGCTGGATTCCTGCCATCTCACCCTCTCCACGTTACTTTGCTCAGGACAGATTCCTCTGAGTAATTCCTCAGATACTCTTGCAATTTTCCACCCCACCCCCAGCAAAAAAACCATTATTTTTCTGTTCTCTCACAGTCCCTTCGAGAACCTTAGACATTTGATCTAAAGAGATCTGTCCCTAGAGTATTTCTTGCACCTTATGCTCCATGAATCATGCTAATTGCTAATGTTGCCAGCCAGAGTCACAGAGGAGCCTAGAAGGATTCCTCGTGTAGAAACCATGTCTGGAAACTCTGTGGATACAAATTACCATTTGTTTTCTGGAAATCTTTTTCTGCTTGATAAGATGTAGGTGAGATAACGAGATACTTCTCTTTGTTCTAAATCTACCATAGTTTGTGAAACCACAAGCCTTTTTTCCAGTCTTACTGAGCAATAATTGACCTGTATCACCATCTAAGGTATACACATTGATGGTTCGATTTACGTATTATTAAATGATCACAGTAAGTTCAGCTCGGAGTCACCATCTGATACAGACACACTATAAGAAAAGAAGGAAGTGAAAATAGTTGTTTTAAGAACCCTGAGAATTTATTTGTTCCCTCAACACCTTTCCGGTGCATCATTCAGCATTTAGCCATAGTCTGCCTGTTCATGTCACATTCCTAGAGCTGCTTTATTTCAGAGCTTGTGCCCTTTGACAACCCCCATCTCATTCCCCCTCCCTACACCTCCGCATCCGGTAACCACAAGTCTGGTCTCTTTTTCTGTGAGTTTGGTGTGGGGTTTTCTTCGCTCTCGTTTTTGTATTTCTAGGTGCCACATGTAAGCGAGATCATACATCTGGTCTTACCTTAGGACCGAGCTGTTCTTGAGAGTTAGAATACCGTGGGCCTTTCTTACCCTGACCCTCTCCCCTTTTTCCAGGACCAGAAATCCACTGTGATCTCGTTAAAGAAGCTGATTGTCAGGGAAGTGGCCCACGAGGAGAAAGGTTTATTCCTCATCAGCATGGGGATGAAGGACCCCGAGATGGTGGAGGTGCACGCCGGCTCCAAGGAAGAGCGGAACAGCTGGATCCACATCATTCAGGACACGATCAACACTCTGTAAGGACACGCCACGGCCCGTCCCAGCCCCTGCGACTTTATCGCAGAGCGGGCGGTGAGCAGAGTCACGGGCCTCGTGGGGGCTTGTTGGTTCATTTCCTTTTGTTTTGGTGTTAGGAACAGAGACGAAGATGAAGGAATTCCTAGCGAGAACGAGGAAGAGAAGAGGCTGCAGGACACCAAAGCCCGAGAGCTGAAAGGTGAGGCCGTCGGGGCGTCTGGGACCTTGTCTGTGCCGCCCGCAGCCCCACAGCTGTCCCAGCAGGCCCTTCCAAACAGGAGCTGAGCGGCTTTTTTTTTTTTTAAGGTATTTGTTTGTTTGTTTGTTTGTTTCTTTGTTTGACAGAGAGAGAGAGAGATCACAAGTAGGCAGAGAGGCAGGCAGAGAGAAAGGGGGAAGCAGGCTCCCCGCTGAGCAGAGAGCCTGACGTGGGGCTCGATCCCAGGACCCTGAGATCATGACCTGAGCTGAAGGCAGAGGCTTAACCCGCTGGGCCACCCAGGCACCCCAGGGCTTTTAACGAAAGAGCAACCCAGGCTGAGCCAACACAGATCCCAGGTCCCATAATACAGCCGTCAGAGGGTGTTGGACCCTGGATCAAGGGGATATTGATTCTGTTTTCTCACTTTCTGTGTTCTTGGACCCTGGTGACGTCTTTGTACTTCGTCACAGGAGAATTTGCTAAAACTCACGGTCATATTCGAGATTCAGACAGAGAGAAGGGTACTTGAGGAGAAGAATTTTCCGTTTAGTCTGTTTTGATCACTGACCCTGCCGCTGCACTGCGTGTCCGCCACGCGTTGTGAGGTGGTTCTGGGAGGCGTGCTCACTGATTATGCTCGACCTCTGTTTATCAAGTCCCTGCTCTTCCAGATGGTCTCGTCAGGACCGTCTCTGCAAGACACGTGTGCCAGTCCCCGTTGTGCAGATGAGAAAGCTGAGGCCCACAGAGGCCACATGGTCCAGGGTCACATACGTGGAACCGGGCAGAGGACTCTCCTCCCTGCTTGCTAAACAGCAGGGCGAGGGCTCCCCTCTCTTTGCCAGCGCTTATCGAATGTTCCGAAGTAAGGACCGGGCTTCGGGTAGAAATAAGTCCCAGAGTCAAATTAATGGAAGCACCCGAGGAGTGTGGTCAGTCCTTCAAGCTGGACAGAGCGGTGACAGTGTTTGGGAGGTGGGCGGACGGGGAGGGAGATTTAGGCTGAAGCCAGATTTGCACCTGACTGATTGGCCCGTGATTAGTATGGCAGGGATGGAAACTTCCTTTTCACGGGCATGAAGCCCCCGGCCAGGTATACTGCTAAGTGCTGGGGGCGCAGAGATTCCTAAAGCAGCGTCCGTGCCGTCGGGGAGCCCCCGTTAGCAAGGGGGGACGGACAGAAATGACAGGACGAGGCTGCTGGCACGTGTAAAGGACGCGGGACCTAACCCTGCCTGCGGAGCTGACGCACGAGCTGAGCCGGAAGCAGCCCCTTGCACCAGACGAGAGTAGCAGTCAGGTGAAGAGTGAAAGAGGACTTGAGTGTGCGCAGTGTCTGGGGGGTAGGGTGGTCGGGGCCAGGAGGTGGAATTTAGCTGCAAAAGCACCAGGGCTTGAAGGGCAACAAGGGAATGATACAATTTGTGGAGCAAAGCTTCAACTGAAATTGTCTTTGTTGGCACTGAAGCCAGGGGGCAGATTGCTTGAGGGAGTGGGGAAGCCATTGGGAGTGGAAAGCCCAGCTGGGTGGCTCAGGGGAGAGGCATGGAGGGCACAGGACGGAGCAGGGAGACAGACAGAAGCCTTCCCCAGTCCTCGGCCGGCCCAGAGGGAGGCTGATGGGGATGTTGGAGGCTGAGGAAGGGATCACACGCCGGAGGAAGGACGGGGACGGCAAGAATGGAGGAAAGGGCTTTCTGACAAGCCGAGGACAAGGCGTCTAAGTAGAACCAGCCACAGGCCGGCCGGACTCTCAATCTGGCGCTCAGAAAGGCAGGCAGGATGCGGGCTGCTCTGTGTGAGTTCCAGCACATGGGAAGTCCCCGAAGCCCAGAGAGGGCAAATCCCCGGAAAGACTTCTGTGAGGTGCAGGAGGCCGGCCAGGATGGAGCTGAGAGGAAGCCCAGGTATCGCTCTATCGCAGACGGTGGGAAGAGAACCAGTGATGCCCTCCTGGTGGGGGACAGAGGAGGGGCGCCTGGGGGGCTCAGTCCAATAAGCGTCCAATTCTTGATTTCAGCTCAGGTCATGAGATCAAGTCCCGTGTCTGGTGTCATGTTCCGCACACAGATTCTTCCTGTTCCTCTCCCTCTGCCCCTCCCCCTGCTCACGCACTGTCCAGATAGACAGATAGTTGGATAAAATCTTAAAAAAAAAAAAAAGAGGAACCATCCATGCTGGAGAAGATGGAACACGGGCCTCACTGGATCAGTAATGATGCAGATGCAGAGAAGAGTGGGTTGAGAAGTAAACAGGAGGTAGGGGAGTGGAAACGGTATGCAGGTTGGTTATGTCAAATTCTGGTTTTGTCTAGAAAGACGCTGGATGGAAGGTGTCATTGCGGTGGAAAGGGGGACTGGGGTGGAGCTGCGTTCTCTGTTGTCCCACCAATGACCACAAGGTGGCACTCGTGTCCCAGTCATCTCTTCCTGAACACTTGTCACCAGACCTTTTCTCCATCCTCCCTGCAGAGCAACTCCAGCAGAAGGACCAGCAGATCCTCCTCCTCCTGGAAGAGAAGGAGATGATTTTCCGAGACATGACCGAGTGCAGCACCCCCTTGCCGGAGGATTGCTCCTCAACGCACAGCTCTCGGATCCTCTTCCGCTCCAACACAGAAGAGGCTCTCAAAGGAGGACCTTTAATGAAAAGTGCAATAAATGAGGGTAATTGCCCCTGTTAATCTCTTCCCAAAGTGCCTCATGCACTAACATTACCTACCAGATTTTACTTTTCCGTTGTAAAATAAAGTACAGATACAGAAAACAATCCAAGACAGATATTTTGTGTAGTAGATTATCATCAGGGGAACATCCTTGTAACCGCCACCCAGGTCCAGAAATAGAACGTGGCCAGACCCCAAAGCCCTTCCACACGGTCCGTCCCCATCAGAGCTCCCTCCCTGCTTCCGAAAAGGAACAGGTGCTGTGACTTCCACGTTTCCACACCGATCGATGGCTGAAGGCCTGTTTGTAGGCGCGGTGGTCTTGCTTGTTTTCCATCGACCTTTCACATTCCTAACTTCCAGGCCTCTCCACCAGCCTTTTCTCTTCCACGTAATCTATCTTTGAAGATTTGGAGCTTTTTGACGTAGAGTGTCTCTCAGAGTCCAACTTTTATTCACGCGAGCGTTCTCTTCCTCTGTTCGCGACTTCCTTCAGATCCACAGCCTGATGGAGAGGTTTTATCGCTCAGGCTGGATCCCCGGGGTAAGCTGTGTCCTTGCGGGGCCGGGCTCCTTTACCAGAGGCACAAGGTAGCTAGCTGTCTCCTTTGTGGCATGCAGGAAAAGGAAGATAAAACGATATACCCTTGATGTTTTTTTTTCCCCTTTATTTACCAGTTATCAGGATAGTGAACTGATCTGGGGTCACCCTCTGAAGGTGACCCGTACGTTTTAGATGTGATTACAGACTCACGAATTTAAACCTGTTGATGGTTTTCAAATCACTACAGTGATGATCCGTACTAAACACTGGGAATGTTCGAGATTTGCCAACCAGCACGTCTTCGTTTGGCTTCCAGGTGCTTCTGACCGGACCCCAGGAGTCTCTGAGAGCTTCAGTGCTCTTTGGTATATCAAGATGTTCTAGACTCACCTTGTTTTCTGCCCCAGATCTAGGGTCCTTTCTCTAAGGAACTCTTGTTTTTTAAGACCACAGTCCTGGCAGTAGGCCTGGTCACTGCTGCTGGAGTTTTCATTACGCTTGTCATTTTGGGTGTCTGAGGCTCCTCCTTCAGTAGCTGTCCCGGGAAAGGCTCGTGAGAACACCGCGCCCTGGGTCCTTGCGCGGGTAGTAATTTGTACCGTGGAGAGCTCGCAAGTCCGCTCTGCAGGATCGGAGATGCTCGGTTCGCATTTTCTTCCCTCGGGTGTCTTGGTTGCTCTTAAATAACGTTCTTGCTTTTCCTCCCGGCATAAAGCAGCTGTCCACGTGCGATCGTAATCTCGGTTCTCCCCTTGTAAGTCCCGTGCTTTCTGCCTAGGCGCCCCGAGAGCTACTTTCTCGAATTCAGGTATTTTGACCTTTGACCGGCATACACCTTCTGTTGGGGCTGTTGTGGGTCGATGTTCTCAGGCTCACGGTTTTCCAATTTCAGAAAAGTATTCTTAAATTACAGCTTTTAGTGTTTTTGCTCTGCCCTTGTTTTGATTCTCTTCTTCAAGAACTCCCGCTGTCCACATGCCAGACCCCCTCTGTTCTCCGCACGTGTCGCTCTCTTCACACTTTGTATCCCTTCATCTTTTTCATGCTCAAGTATTCTTCCTTCCACCTTCTGGTAAGTCATTTTCTGTTGGGTTGGTTTTGCTCTTGTGATCTAGTTTTCCTCTCTGAAATGACCATTTCTCTTTGTTTCCACTTCTTGGTGTCTGTGTTTCCCGATTCTGCCCTGGGTTCCTCCATGGCTGTGTCCGCTCCTTGCAGTAAGTAGCCCGTCCACTTCATGGACACGTGTCCCTGAGATGCTCTTAGCCCACGCGGGGAGTCATGCCCCTTGTTCTTTCCCTCGCTTGCTTTCTCTTTAGCGTTGTGTGGGATTTGACTTGGATGTTTCCCAGTTGCTCGTTTTTTTTGTTTTTTTTGTTTTTTTTTTTAAGATTTTCTTTATTTATTTGACAAAGATCACAAGTAGGCAGAGAGGCCGGCAGAGAGGGGTGAAGCAGGCTCCCCGCTGAGCAGAGAGCCTGATGCGGGGCTCGATCTCAGAACCCTGGGATCATGACCAGAGCCGAAGGCAGAGGCTTAACCCACTGAGCCACCCAGGTGCCCTACCCTCCCCCCAGTTGCTCTTTTTTACGTGAAATAAGCTCCCTAAGTTTTTAGGTGTAGATACCTTTTCTCACTTCACAGGACTCTTGGTTGTTTCCGGGGAGTGTGTTTTTTTTTTTTAAATACAGTGGCTTCGTCTACTTGATTCCCTGCCTCTGTTTCCCTCCTTCATTCCATCTGGACCTCCTCTCTGGCTTCTCTCCAGCTCAAGCTTTATTCCACTTTTAGCGCTTTTTTCTTTCTGGGGGACCCAGCTCTAGAAAAGCGGCCTCGCTGGTCAGATCTGAGAATTCCGGCCCTTGACTTCTCTGGTCCCTTGAACTCACTGTACCAGGGGGAAGAACCCTGCCAGCTTTAGGGCTGCTCTCAGATTGGCCCATCTTATTTCCTAGGGAATTCTTTTTGGCCACTTTGGGTATGACTCTAGAAGGCCATGCCCCTTCCAGTAAATTCCTTTGTCTTCCTCATGCCCTTTCGAGTTTCCTAGACCCTGTGTAAATAAGGCCGAAGGCTTCGTCTGTGAATTCCCAGTAGTATCCAGCTACAACACATATCCTGAGCTGAGACCTTCTCTGAGCAAAGGAAGTCCCTAGTCACTCTGGAATTGTCTATTCATGCTTCCTGTATATCTTGTGTAATACCATGAGATTTTCTAAGTGGAAGATGAAATGTGACTTGAGCATGTTTCCTTTTTTCCAGTGGAGATCCTTCAAGGTTTGGTGAGTGGAAGCCTGGGAGGCACGCTGGGGCCGGCGGTCAGTAGCCCTGTTGAGCAGGAAGGCATGGTGGGTCCTGTCTCCTTGCCCCGGAGAGCAGAGACCTTTGGAGGATTTGACAGCCATCAGATGAACGCTTCAAAAGGTAAATGATTTATGGGCCCCTGGCTGGCTTCCTCCATAGAGCATGTGACTCGTGATCTCAAGGTCGAGAGTTCAAGGCCCACGTTGGGCCCTAGGGCTTACTTTAAAAAACAAAAAGCAAAAACAGTAAGTGGTTTGGAACCATACTCCTGTAAGTGATCCCCGACTATCTCATACAACCCAAAATGAAATCCTGTTCCGGTAGCTGCCTCTCCCCTGTTCCAGTCAGTAGAAGTTTTAGCGAAAGCTCATTGAGTAGCTCTCTGCTAAAACACTCAAGAACCTCTCTCCGTGTCACATTTATTTTTAGTAAATGAAAAACAATTTCCTGGGACCTCAGCTAAGTTGTGACCAAAGGAGTAATGATACTCATTTTTCCTTTCTGCTTCTGATTCTTCTGTGGCCATAAAATTCTTAATCATCACTTAGCTGCCCCCAGGTGGCTTCCCCCTTTTTGGCATTAATATAAGATGTGGGAGTACCATATCCCTAAGCTGCAGATATTGTATTTTTTTCTTGGCTAATCTGTTTCACAACTTTAAAAAAAAAATTTTTTTTTTTGCTTATTTCAGGAGGTGAGAAGGAAGAGGGAGAGGACGGCCAGGATCTGAGGAGAACCGAGTCGGACAGCGGTCTGAAAAAGGTATTTTTCTAAAACCTCTACATCCATAATCTTTGCAGTTAGTCCCCTTGGATCTTGTTTTGGATCTGACTTGCTGTCATTTCCTACTTCAGGAGGAAAGCACATTTTGAAACAAACCCTACAATTAGAGTCCCGTGTTCCTGGCCGTTAGGCCCCTCGGGCTCAGAGCCTCGTGCTACACTCCTCACTGCCCGCGGCCCAAGCGGCAGGAGCTCCAGGTCAGCGGCCCACACCGGCCTGACCTCTCTAGGGGCTTCAGCTAAGTCCGGCCTCAAACCTTTGTTACCCTGTAGCGGGAAGCTGCGATGGAAAAGAACAAAAATGGGAAGCCCAAGCATAATCGAGACACCTATTGAACATTATTTTTGCCTCAGGATCTTTTTTTTTTAATGCATGTTTTTGTTTTATAGGGTGGAAATGCTAACCTGGTATTTATGCTTAAAAGAAACAGTGAGGTAAGGGCATTACGAGCTATGTCTAAGAATAGGATTTTGTCATAATTGCTAGGCTGGGAATGCTCGTCTGTGTTTTGCTGTTAGGAACAAGCTGACTCCTGGCTTCCATTTGTACACTTAGTGGTGGGGTCGCCACTTTCCTTACCTTGCTGTTTGCCTGAGCCCCGGGCATCATCCTGGAAGCGCGCCAGACCGTGGCCTACTAACATAGCCTCGGCTTCTCCGTCCTCGAGAAGCAGGCCTCTTGCTTTCTGGGAACACGCGCTGCCATGGCGACCATGGCACCTCAACTTGTGGGTCACTCTGCGTGGTCATATGCTATCCTGCCAGGACTCAAGCCGTGTTTTCTTCTCTGAGCTCTGCTTTTCGCTCACTATGTGTCACTTTGAAGACAGCCATGGTGTCCCTCTTGTTGGAGAGCTGTCTCTGGGGGCGTCTCCCTCCCCTTCCTTGGTTCAGGTCTGCTGACCCTGTCGGGGTACTGAGCCTCTCCCGCTCGCGTTCCCACTCGGGTCCCCGCTCCTTGCTCCACCAGCAAATCCCATTCCCACGCCGCCACCCTCTCGAGACTGGCGTGACTCAGGGCGTGCTCGGAGTGTGTGTACTTAATACGTGACACTGGGTTTGTGGGGCGTCCCTGTCAGGATGCTCTTGTTTCTTCTTGCTTCTAACATAGTATCATAAGGCCCTGAGGAGATTGTTTTAAAATTTTAAATTAAAGGGAACTTTTTCCTTTTCCCCTTGTCCCCCCTAAGACACAGGAGGTATTTTCCGTTGGTTGGCGTGGCAGTGTAAACACTGGCCTCCTCAGTGTATTTGCCTTAAACCAAATCCACTTACTCTCACACAGACCATTGCTCTGTCTGCTGCTCGAATGAAATTTCACCCGTATTTTTCTGTTCGGTGACTTTCCCCCCCCCCATATTTCATGACAAGGGTCGGGTAAGAAAGTACCGGACCACGGCTTTTCAGGCGTTCCAGTGCGGGTAACACTGTGGATGCCCAGCCACAGCCCGCTGGTCTTTGGTGACCTCTTTTATTAAGAAGAAACTGAAAAGAGGGTAAAAAGTGTGTTCTCAGAAGAGCTAAGCTTAATAATTAAGTTTTTGGTGTTTCGTTCTAAGTACAGTTGATCCTTGAATAACATGGGTTTGAACTCCGCGGGTCCACTTCTAATATGCAAGTTTTTTTAATAAATAGAGTGCAGTGCTATAAATGTTTTCCTTGTGGTCGTTTTTAGTAACATTAGTAACATTCTCTAGCCTACTTTTATAAGAATACAGCCTATAGAACACGTACCATATAAAGGTATGTGTTAATCGACTGTGTTATGGGTAAGACTTCGGGGCAACAGTGTATGCTATTTGTAAAGTTTTTGGAGAGTCAGAAATTATAAGCGGGTTTTCTTCCGTGCAAGGGATTCGGCGCCGCAAGCCCAGCATTGTGCAGGGGTCAGCTGTATCATAAAAGGAACATGTTCAGAAACAACAAAAAAAATGAGTAAAATAAGTCCACCCCCAAGAAATAGGTATTGTTAAATGTTGGGTGTTTATATTTCCATCCTTTTCTTCTACACAACGTATATTTATGTGTCTATTTATGTGTCTAAGTCTGTGTGAGTGTGAATAGTACAGAAATAGCTTTAACGTATCATTCACACCTGTACCCCCTGCAGCTTTGTGTCCTTTTTTTCTCCTAACACGTTAGAAGCACCTCCCCAGCGCCCGTGTGCACAAGCCTGCGCTGTAAGGGCTGCGTGGTGCTCTGTGGCTGCCGTGGTTTTACTTCCCCTGCAGTTTCGCGGGGGATTTGATGCACCAAGAACAGCTCGGTGTGGCGCTGCTCGAGAAAGGCGTGTGTGTGGCGCGTGCCCCTTCCCTCTGCACAGGACCGTTCTTGCTTTTCCTGGCATTGGGAACGATCCATTTTTAACTGCTGTTTTGTTGGTTTCGTAAGTGCATGTGGTAGCTTACTTTCCATCTCTTTGCTTTCGAAGAAAGGTAGATCGTTTTTCATAGGTCATAGAATTGGCCACTTGTATTTCTTCCTTTGCCAGTTGCTGGTTTGTGTTGCCTTTTTTCTTCCTAGGGCACTCGTTTCTCATTGGACTACGGGAGCCTATTTTTAAGTGAAGGGGTTTTTCTTTTGGCTTTCTGTTCAAAGTGTGTCTGCATTTTATATTTTAATTTTACATTTCACACAGGGGCCTTGAAGGCGCACTGTGGTTGCTTGCCTTGCTTCGAGAAGCCTTCTCTGTTTCACGATCAGAAGAGACAGTCTCATGTTTTCTTACAACTCTCTTAACGGTTCTTTTTTTTACACTTAACATTTTAATCTGTTTGAATAGGTTTTGTGTGAGCCAGGATCCCAACTTAATTTTTCCCAAAGAGTCAGCCCATTTTCTCAGAGCAATTTGTCGAATATTCTTTCCTTCCCCATCGATTTAGGAACACTCCTTAGATGCTGAATTCTTGTGATTTGCTCTGGGCTTTCTGTCCCATTACATGTCGTTTTTGTGCCAGTCATCTTAGAGAGCTGGAGCCTTATCACGTCCTGGCTGCATGCTGATGGCCCCCCTGCACCGTTGTCCCGTTTGCTTGACCTTGTTTTGGGTCTCTGGGCCATCCGTACCTGCTTACTCTCTCTGGTGCTCTCAGTCCGGAAATACTCCGTTCAGACGCGGCCCCTTGCCGTGGGTTGGGGGTTGGCTCATGCCGCGCCGCGGGGTGGTGGGCTCGGAGACTCCGTCCTGAGGGCTGTTTCCGTTGCTTCCTTTCGCAGCAGGTGGTCCAGAGTGTCGTTCACCTCCACGAGCTCCTCAGCGCGCTGCAGGTACGGGCCTCTCTCTCCTCCTTCCCTCCCTCCCTCGTGTGCAGAGAAGCTGGAAGGGTAGTGTTGGCCGGGACCTTTGAGGTCTGCGGGCAGCTCGTGGGTAAATGGGGCCCTCGGTTGAGGCACGACGGGCTGTAATGATGAGAAAGGGTACAACGTGCAGTGCTTCCAGTGTCTTTGGCCTCGGAAGATAGAACTGATGAATGATGGGTGAACTGACCTGGGAGATTACATGAATAGGTGCTGTAGCCTTGTGGCAAAACCTGAAGTGCTGCGTGGTTGGGTGCTTTCTTTAGCGTGATTGTGAGTTTCCATCTCTGTGTAGTTTGTGGTGAGGGAAGTCCTCCCCAAAGTAACTGCTACTTAGCACTTTCTGGGAATTATCCTCAAATTGTGCCCACTTCCTTTCTCCGAGCTGTACCTGATCCAATTCCTACTTCCTCCCACCTCCAGAGCGCACACAGCCCCCACCCCGGGCAGGGTCAGCAGCATGTGACCAAGTGTAACGAGGCCCTGGGTCCCCCACACAGTTGATATTACTTTGGGCTCAGTTGGGGGGGCGGGGGGTGCTCCTGACTCCATGGTTGGAGCGGAGCCCTGGACCGGACACACCTGCACGCGGAGGGGCGGGGGCCGGACCTGTCGCAGCTCCCTCCACTGCGTGTCCCCCGCAGGGCGTGGTGCTGCAGCAGGACAGCTACATCGAGGACCAGAAGCTGCTGCTGGCCGAGCGCGCGCTTACCCGGAGCTCGTCGCGCCCCAGCTCCCTGGTGGAGCAGGAGAAGCAGCGCAGCCTGGAGAAGCAGCGCCAGGACCTGGCCAACCTGCAGAAGCAGCAGGCGCAGCACCTGGAGGAGAAGCGGCGGCGCGAGCGAGAGTGGGAGGCGCGCGAGCGGGCGCTGCAGGAGCGCGAGGCGCGGCTGGCGCAGCGCGAGCAGGACGTGCGGCGCGGCCAGCAGGACCTGGAGCGCGAGCGCGAAGAGCTGCAGCTCCGCAAGGGCGCCTACCAGTGCGACCTGGAGAGGCTGCGCGCCGCGCAGAGGCAGCTGGAGCGGGAGCAGGAGCAGCTGAGGCGCGACGCCGAGCGGCTCAGCCAGAGGCAGGCGGAGCACGACGCCCAGCAGGTGCGGGCGCCCGCGGGGGGCGGGGGGGGGGGGGTGTCCCGGGCGCGGAACCCCAGGAGGAGGTGGGTGGAGCACGCAGGCCCGGCTGTGCGCCTCACTCAGCGGCTGCTCCCGCGGGAAGCCCCTCGGGGATGAGCTTCAGGCGGGGGCGTCCGTGGGCATCCGTGCACCCATGGTCGACCTGGCGGAGGGCGGACGCTCGTCCGGTGCTGCCGTGGGGGTGGGGGGCCGACCTGCCCCCCAGAGAGGAAGTTCAGGCAGCGTGTCCCAGGGGCGCGGCTCAGGGTCCTCGCCCCCGGCAGTGTGCAGGGTCTGCAGGGAGCCGCCGGCGGGTGGAGTCCACCGCATCCCTGTCACCGCGCAGGGCCGTGCAGGGGACGGCACCCAAGGTGGGTTTCACGTCCGGCTCCCCACCCGCCTCTAACGGGACAGGCTCCCCCACGCCCTCAGCCCTGTAGTAATTCTGCAGGGAAGTCAGTCTTCACCCAAGCAGCTCTTTTCTCCAGGGAATGGGGGTTCCTTTCTGCACTGCCTCCTCCAAGGCGCTATGAATCCTTCGTGGTGCGGACATGTGGTACCTGAACAACCGCAGTAGTAGGTCAGAGGTGATGTCTGCAGCACTGTCCCCGGTTCCACGTGGGCGCTAGGCAGAAGTCCTGGATCTTTCTGTGGCATGGGCCCGTGGCATCCAAGGAAGTGGGTACACCCCAGGCTGACTGCCACCCCCACAGTTGACCTCAGCCAGGGTGGAGTGAGCGGACCCTAGGGCTGCCACCGCGCTGGCTTAGAAGCTCTTGTTTTGACCACGCGCAGGTTTCACGTCAGCACAGCAAGCTGCTGCGGATCCCGTCCTTCCTTCCGAATCCGGAGGAGTCACCCTTGCCGCCTGTACCTTCCATAGCCAAATCGGGATCCCTGGACTCAGAACTCTCGGTGTCCCCAAAAAGAAACAGCATCTCTCGGACACACAAAGATAAGGGGCCTTTTTACGTACTGAGTTCCACCAGCCAGCCAAACAGAGCCCCAGAGGGTCAGAGCCAGACCCCGGTGCCCACGTCCGCCTCCACCCGCCTGTTTGGGTTAGCTAAGCCAAAGGAGAAGAAAAAGAAGAACAAAGGCAGCCGCTCTCAGCCCGGTGGTGAGTGACACGCGTCAGGTCTCCCCACCGCCACGTTGCTCCTGGGTCCTGAAGGGGGGGCAGGGTTGACGGAGCAGGCCATTCGGCTGTGTCAGCTGCACTGCCGTCCCCGAGCCCACTTGCTCTGCCTGGAGGGCGGCCGGGGCTCCCGGCAAGAACGCGGGCTCAGCGGGCATCTCGGACCCCCTCTGTGCACATGGGTGCCGGGGGGAGAGCGCAGGTCTCGGTGTGGGGGCATCTGTTACCCAGCCTGGGGGCTGAAACTCACCGCAGTGAAGACCGAAGTCCTCCCCGCTTTTCTGTAGGTCTAGTCCGGTCATGAGTAGAACTAGCACTTGGTGAGCACTGCCCCAGGTCCGGTTAGCCCTGCGGGTGGCTGTGTGACGCAGGTGACACCGAGAACCGCGGACGTGGCTGCCCGCACCCAGCTCGTGATCAAATCCCAGTCACCCAGGCTCCCAGCGTGTGCAGCCCTTTCCCCAAGTCCTCCCTCAGTTGCTTCTCGTCAGGATTGCTCCCTCCCGTCTCCGGGGGATCAAAGAGAAGTTTCTGTCTCGGGGCCTGTTCGTTGGTGAATGGGAAGTCCACTGCTTTGTCAAGTCGAAGGGCCCAGTGGACCAACGAAGGGGGTCAGAGGACCTCGAGCTACTAACCCAGTCAGGGAGCCCCGGTGGGCGGGAGGGGTGGCTGCCCGCCAGGCCAGCATGTGCTGCATCTGCAAGACTTGGGCTGAGGGGGAAGGGGAGGGAGCTCAATGAAGAGAGCAGTTTTTTTCTGAAGTTTTCTCCTTGGTTTCCCCTTTCCCAGATGGCCCTATGTCAGAAGTGCCCACAGAGGGTGAAGAGATCTTCTGCTGACCCTGCCCTCTGCCGTGGCCACTGCCTCCTGTTCTGGCCCGTGGTCACCAGCCCCACCTCTCCTCCTGTTCCTGGGTGTGGTCTCTTACCTTGGACACAGAGCTGCCCCACGTCCTGGACCAGAGGGACAATGATCTGGAAGGTCAGGGTGGGGCAGCAGACCCGGGCTCAGCGGCTCACACCGAAAAAGCGGCCCAGAAGTCCAGGCGATGGCTTCAGACACGTCAGGAATCTCTAGAGGCTGAAAGAAATGTGGAAATAAGGTCTGAAATTCTACCTTTTACTTGAGGGACACAAGCAACAGCCAAACGGCAGATAGTTTGGACTTGGTCCGTGTACATAGAGTTACCCTTCTGCATATACACGTGGGGTGTGCCAGAATTAGGCGCCATCTGTCGCGGAGGCCTGGTCCGCTTGGCACAGGAGGGGCCACCCGGCTCTGCTCCAGGAGCACGCGGGCCCTCGCCTCATACACCCTCCTAGTCCTCCAAGGTGGTCCTATCACCCTGCCCCGTGCACACCTCCTCCCTTTCTGCATGTTTCATTTTAGAAGGGATGGCAAACGTTTGTGAAAACCAGTAAGAGAAGGTGTGATGTGTTTAAAAAGCATATATATATATATATATATATATAGGCAGATATATATATATGTGTATGTGTGTGTACATATATATATGATCTGTACCACCTTCATTTTAGTGTTTGTCATTTAAAAAAAAAAAATCTATAATTTTAACATGAAATCCAAAGAAATTATAGTCTGGCTTTCCAGGATGTTTGCCCACATACTCTGGGCACAGACGAAGTAGAGAAGTCTCCACGTCCTTACTCCTGCATGGTGACACTTTTTGGTTGTCACTGACCCACAGCCTCCTTGACACCATGCCGAGGGCAGCGGCAGCAAGGTTGTCCCCACCCCTGCACTAAGACAGTGGCCCCGTTGGTTCAGGGGAAGGCGTTCGGCCCCTCTGTCATCGTCATCATTTTTAGACCAGTTCGGCCCGAGAGGTAGCCGGCCCCGGTGCGGCTGGGAAGCGTGCTCGTTCTGTAGCGGGAGGCCAGGCCGGGATTTGATTTCTTGAAACGTTTCTCCAATCTAAAGGTCTGTTGGTTACTGTATTCCGCCCCCTCGAAGGTGTGCCCCAGACGCGGCCTGGCTTCCCTTCTGTCTCCCGCGCTGGCGGGGTCCCTGATTGCTGGAGGCTCGCCGCAGTGCTAGAGCAGGACGGTTCTTGGAGGTCCTCGGAGCCCCCCTCTCCCTGCTGGACTCCATACTCCCCGCACGGGGAGACCCTGGAAACGTCTGTGCTTTCCGTGTGCCCTCCCCTTCCTGCTCTTTGCCCCTCGGGAGCATGGGTCTTTGAACATACCTTTTAAGAAAACAAAATCTGCAACTTGGTGCTTGTTGATGAGTTGCAAGCTGGCCTTGCCGATGGAGATATTTATCTTTCAGTTTATTTGAAAGAGGTCTGCTTTAAAATTGTTAGCTTAGACTTATTTATTGTGTGTGTGTGTGTGTGTGTGTGTGTGTGTGTGTGTGTGTGGTAAGGGTGAGCACCCCAGCCCAACGGCTTCCGCTGTCTGGTCCGTGCAGAACGTGAACAGCGCTGCTCGCTCCTCCGTGTCTGTCAAAGTGCCTTGAGGGCCCAAAGGAAAGTTAAAGGTTGGGGAAGGGGAATCCATTTCCTTCCCTTCTCTCACCCCCCACCTCCTCCTTGGATCAAGGGATGTCTTCTCCCTTGCCTGAGTCAAGAAACTTGTCACCTGTGAGTTACATTCACCTGTTTGTGTCTCAGAAATTTCTTAGCCTGCAGAAGCAGACTGTAAGAACAAAACCAGCTAAGCTAATCATCTTTTGAACCACGGTGTACCACCCCCCCTCCGGCCCCGAACAGTGAAAAGATAGGTTACTTCCTGGCCTTGGTCCACACTGCTCCGAGCCACAGCCACGCCTGCCACGGTTCTCCTCGAAGCACATGGAGCGCAGGGTCTGTCCCCCTCTGGGGCTCACCGTCCCGCTCGCCGTGGGCCGCTGGAGGGAATGGCACCTGGGAGGGAAGGCTGCATCCTTCCTGCTCGGTGTCACCGTAGGCCAGGCCCCTGTGTTCCCTGAGCTTGCACTCGGTGCTGGCAAGATGGGCCCTCACGTCTGCTCGCCACTGACGCGCTGTGGACCCCGAGTTTCTGGCCCCTGCTGCCCAGCTTGAAAGTGTCTTTTACTCAACTACGTTTGAGCTGATGTTTGGGCTGCTTTGCGGGTGGTGGTGATGGTGGTGGCTTTGCCTGCGCCCACCCGCGAGTCACTGAGCTCGCTCAGGTTCTGGGTAGACACGTGCAGAACCGGATTTGGAGGGGAGCCTCCCGCGTCCGCCCCACCTTCATGGAAAGCCGAGTTCACAGCGCAGAGAGACAACGGCTTCCTGGGAGCCGCGCTGTGACAGGTCTTTCTCATCCCCTCCGGAAACTGCACTCCGGGACCTCCTTTGCCGGGCTTGGAGAGCTGCCGGGATTGTTGCTGCTTGTGCTTGTCACCTTGAGAACCACTCTGGTTCCGGAGGCTGAGGCCTCATCTGGGCTCTTTTCTTGTGAGAAGGGGTCGTCTGCCCAGGGGACTCGAAGGCCGTTCCCTCTTGTGTCGTCCAGGAAGCTCCAGAAAGCAAATGCCTGACACCAGCCAGAGCCCCCAGATTTCCAGAGTCTAGTGAAGTTCCTGGAGGGAGGCTCAGTTCCTGGAGGGAGGCTCAGTTCTGTCTCAAAAATTCTATCATCTCAGAAGTTGTCATCCCAGTTGGGTGACATGCACTTTAAATGCTCTCATCTGTTGGCTTCTTTTTTGGGACAATCAGCTATGTGAACTCTTCTTCTTTGAAAACAGAGAGGGTTAAAAACATGCAAATTGCCATGATTCAGCCTTTGCCAACATTCCATTCTTTACCCCCATGAGAGCGATCTGTGGGGAAGAAATCCTTATCAAGATTTTTTTTTTTTTTTTTTTTTTTTTTTTGAAAAGGTACGAATCTTACCTTTCTCCCTCTTACGTCTCAGGGTAGCACCACTGACGTCGTCTCTTTGAGAAGAGAATGTTCTCATTCTCTTCCTGAGCCCCTATGAGCTAGCAGGAAGCACAAATTTTCAAGACCCTTGGGGTTTGTTGTACCTTTCCTGGGAAGGGGGGCAGGTATGGTGGTGCAGGGGTTTAATAAGGTGGACTCTGCCTTAAGCAAGGGGCAGAACCATACCTTAGAGGCCAGGACTTGATCCAGAAGTTGGGTGTTCACAGAAGTACTTAATATTTCATTGCTTGGTCTCTAAGGCCTCTCCATAGCCAGTTCTCTCTCCCCGAGGATTTGGGCGTTTGCCCCAAGGAGGGCTTGCAGAGGGGGCTGAGTCAACTCCAGTGTTGATGGGTGACGGGTTGTGCCCAGGCCAGCCGAGCCCTGGGAGGGTGTTGGAGACACTGTTCTGGTGATGGGCCTCTGGCCATACACACGTGGCTTGGACGGGCCCCCAGAGGGGATCGGCGTCCTTGGCCTGTGGGAGCCCGGAACCAGCCCTGTAGGTTAGATGGCAGTGGTTGAGTGACATGCGTGCCTCGCGCGCCCGCCTTCCGGCTGGACACACACATGCCGGTGGTGCTGGGCCCGCATCCCAGCCCCGCGCTCTCGCGCTCACTGACACACAGAGATGAGAGGAGGGCAAGGAGTTTGTTGTGGTTTGCGTCTTTTTTCTTCCAGCATCGCCAAACATTCCTAGTTAACCAGAGCTTTGGGATCTACTGCCTGCTGGCCAGGTTTTAAAGTGGAAAGTATTTTAATGCTGCCATAAAAGTAAAATCAAAAAAATGAAAACAAAAAAAAAGGAAGGGAAAAACAAAGCCTTCTTTCCTTGTACTCATCTAATTTAATTTGTCAAAAGATTGACAGGCCTTGAATTAATTCTCCATCTCGCTAAGGTTGAAAGCCGGGCAAACCCAGCCGGCTAACGGCCTCCGGCCCCAGAACACGCCACCCTGCTCTGCACGCCTGGCCTGTGCCAGGGGCCCCTCTCTGCCGCGAAGCAGAGGGTGCTGCCCCCCCAACCCTGCCTCTTCACCCCCGATACTCACCCAGCTTGAGCTCTCCTGCCTTTCGCAGCCACCCGACAGGCCCGTCCGGTCAGCTTGCCCGTAGTCATGGTTCAGCCTGTGGTTTCCCGTGTTCCTTACCCGCTGCGGGCGTGGGAGACGCCCGGACCTGCAGGAGGGCAATTCCCGTACACCTTATACCTCTGCTTTTGTGGTTTTCAACTGCTAGACAAACATTTCTGTGCTAGATTCTTTTAAATAAAAAGGGGTTAAAACCCAGATGCTGTATATTAATTTGTAATTATGTATAAAGTAAAGCAGTTTTAAACTGTAAAAAAAATTTTTCAGTGTGTTTTCTGGGATTTTGCCACAACATACTGGCTTTGTATTTTATTTATCTTCCTTTCTAGTTATTGGCTTCAGACTCTACCTGTAAAGTCCCCTCCACCCTTTCAAAAAATAAATGTCCTTTAAGTTTCAGTTGTTGCCATGTCGTGTTCTATCCCCGTGGGTTGCCTGGAGAGCGTCTCAGAATAGTCTGGGCTCCCGATAAAGGGGCATCCCCCACTCCAGTAAGAGCCCCCTCCCCAACGAGAATTTCTGTTTCTAATGTCCCTCTGGGAACAGGAGTCAGGAAGAGTCTGTAAACACTCAGCAGCTCCTCGGAGACATTTTCCTGGGGCCGGGGGGATGGCATGGGGCTGGCCAGCCCTGAAGTCATGATCTGTGCCTGGAATCAAAACTATTTCCAGTCTAATCAGAGCAGTAAAATCATCCTTTGCTATAGATTATTCTATATTAATTCTTTTGACAGAGTAGAATTAATATGAGTTTGCCTTCTTTGACATCTTTCTCCGCCCCATATGACCCCCCCCAGGAAGGGGACTTTGGGGGCACTGGCAGAGTAGGAGGACCCTAAGCTCACCCCATTCCACAGACACAACTTCGTAACAGTCACATCAGTGCAAACAGACCAAAGACTGGTTCCACAACTAAATGTGGAAATGAGGCCATATCCAAGAGGGGAGGAAAGGGAGAGACACTGTGGGGAGCAAAACAGATGACAGCCCTCCACGGGAGGGAGGGAACATGGCCCAGAGGAGGGGAGAGAGACCATGGCACCGGGGAGCCTGCACAGGGAAGACGAATCCCCGTGACATTTTGCTTTGAAAACCAGAAGGGCTGAATTTCCCAAGTTCTTACAACCAGTGGGACTTAGAACCCAGAGCATTAACAAGTCAACCAGCTTGGCTCTGGGAATCTGGAGGGCAGTAGGAACCGGAGTCCTCACCCTTAAAGAGACAGCACGACAAACAGCCCAGGGAGATAGTGTAGGATCAGCACTTTGAGACCCGCCTGGGAGGCACAGCAGGGAGAGTTATTTACTAATCTCCGAGCATGTGCAGGAGGGGCAGAGATCACTGGGAGACTTCCAGAAACAAAGGAGCTGGCAGATGCCATTTCCCTCCTCTGCCCCCCAGCCTCAACACACAGCCGCCTTCTGGAACCAGGTGAGCTGACCTTCACCCCCCAACTTGCCGACACCCCACCCCACTCTCCCTGCACTGCAGCAGACCCACCCCATCCAGCCAGGCCTGCCTCAGTCCTGGCGCTGCGGGTCCCCACCCCCAGAAGACTGCGAGAACCCTGCCAACACTTCCTGTCCTATCCCCATGCACTTGGCCGATCCACCCCCTCCGATCTGGCCAGCCCGGTCCCCGTGGCTGCAGGCCCCCTCCTGCAGAGCACTGGCACACAAACCTTGCTAACACTGCACGTCCTGGCCAGCACACTTTGGAGATCCACACCCGCAAATACACTCTGGGTAGGCACCGTCCAAAGCAGTGCCACAAGCTGCAGTGTGCACGCAGCCCTGACTGGAGCCAGCACCCCTCCAAAGAGACTCCTGCCCCAGGGAGAGAAAAAGGCAACCATATACACCAGTCAGGCTGCAGCCCCAGCAGTGGGCTGGGGACAGACACCTGGTCGGACTACAGGCCGCACCCAACAACAAAACCTCAGGGACAACACAGGAAACGTGCCCTATAGTTTGGTGATACTACATCTCTGGCAAACGTCTGGTCTGACTCAACTCGAGCCCAAGGCAGCACCACACTGGCCCACTAACAGTACAGGGACCAAACTGTGCCCTCAGCAGAGCAGAGAGAGCCACTGAGGGTGACTGACTGGCGAGAAGAGGGTCAGCCACAAAAGTAGGCTGTGTGCAACACACAGAGACCCACCACCACCAAGGGGCACCTGGGTGGCTTAGTCGGTTGAGCACCCCACTCTTGATTTAGACTCAGGTCATGATCTCGGGTTCACGAGACTGAGCCACACATCAGGCTCCAAGCTCAGCACTGAGTCTGCTTGAGATTCTCTCTCTCCCTCTCCTTCTGCCCCTCCCCCTGCTTGTGCTCTCTAAATAATAATAAATAAGTAAAATCTTTTTTTTTTTAGAGGAGATACCTTTGAAGCTCCCAGGTTCTGCACTCCAGGGCACTACAGGCCCTGTTCTTCATAAGGCCACTACTTGCAAGAGTGGGAGACATAGGTTACTTTCCTAATACAGAAACAGTCACAGTTAGACAAAATAAGAGGACAGAGGATTATGTCCCAAGTGAAAGAAAAGGACAAAAATCACATCAAAGGACCTAAATGAAATGGTAGTAATATGCCTAACAAAGAATTTCAGGTAATGACCTTGAAGATCCTCACTGGACTTGAGAGTGGAGGACCTCATTGAGGCCCTTAAAAAAGAGATAGAAAACATAAAAAAGAACCAATCAGAGATGAAGAACTCAGTAAATGAAATCAAAACTACATTAGATGGAATAAATAGACTGAGAGGAAGCAGAAGAACAGATCAGTGACTTGGAGGACAGAGTAGTGGAAAGCAATGAAGCGGAGCAGGTGAGAAAAAATATACAACATGAAAATTGACTTAAGGAACTCAGTGATACTGTCAGGCATAATAACATTCACATTATAGGGGTCCCAGAAGGAGAAGACAGAGAAAAGGGAACAGAAAATTTGCCTGAAGAAATAATAACAAAACATTCCAAATCTGGGGAAGGAAACAGAAACCCAGATCCAGGAGACACAGAGAGGTCCAACAAAATTAACCAAAGGAGGCCCACATGAAAACAGAGTAATTAAAATGGCAAAAAGCAGTGATAAAGACAGAATTTTAAAAGCAACAACGACCAAAAAATAAATAAATAAATAAAACAGTTACATACAATGGAAATCCCATTAGGCTATCAGCTGATTTTTCAGCAGAAACCTCGACAGACCAGAAAGGAATGGAATTAAATATTCAAACTGCTGAAGGAAAACAACCTGCAACCAAGAATGTTCTATCCAGCAAGGTGACCATCTGAATAGAAGGAAACAGAGTTTCTCAGACAAAAACTAACATAGTCCATGACCACTAAACCATTCCTACAAGAAAAAATATTGAAGAGTGCTCTTTGAGACTGTGGACTCTGAGAAATAAACTGAGGGTTTGGGGGGTGGGGGGTTGGGCGAGCCTGGTGGTGGGTATTATGGAGGGCATGTATTGCATGGTGCACTGGGTGTGGTGCATAAACAATGAATTCTGGAACACTGAAAAGAAATTTTAAAAAATAAAAATTTTTTTAAAAAGAGGGCTTTTTGGAAAGGAAAGGTCATAAATAGGAGTAAGAAAAATAGGAAGCACAAAGGCAGTAAGAATATCTGTAAAAATCAGTCAAAGGACTCACAAAACAAAAAGATGTAAAGTATAACACCATAGACAGATGTAAAGTATAACACCATAGACCTAAAATATGGGGAGTTAAGAAGTAAAGAATGGGTTCAAACTTAAGCAACCATCAACATAATATAGACTGCTACATGTAAAAAGTACAAAGCTATTGGTAACCAGGATTCAAAAATGACTAACAGGGGGCGCCTGGGTGGCTCAGTGGGTTAAAGCCTCTGCCTTCAGCTTGGGTCATGGTTCCAGGGTCTTGGGATCAAGCCCCGCATCGGGCTCTCTGCTTAGCGGGGAGCCTGCTTCCTCCTCTCTCTCTCTCTCTGCCTACTTGTGGTCTCTGTCTCCCAAATAAATAAAAAATAAATAAAAATCTTAAAAAAAAAAAAAAGACTAACAGATTGCAAAGAATAAAGAGAAAGGAATCCAAGCATATCACTAAACAAAATCAGCAAAGCATGAGAGAGCAAGAAAAGACAGGATCAGAGATAAAATACAAAAACTATCACAAAACAAGTAACAAAATGGCTAAACAAAATGGATAAATACAAATCTATCAATAAGTCCTTTGACTGTAAATGGACTAAATACTCCAAAAGACACAGGATGACAGTATTGATTTAAAAAAAAAAAAGGGGGGGGGTGCCTGGGTGGCTCAGTGGGTTAAAGCCTCTGCCTTCGGCTCGGGTCGTGATCCCAGGGTCCTGGGATTGAGCCCCATGTTGGGCTCTCTGCTCAGCGGGGAGTCTTCTTCCCTTCCTCTCTCTCTGCCTGCCTCTCTGCCTACTTGTGATCTCTGTCTGTCAAATAAATAAATAAAATCTTTAAAAAAAAAAAAAAGACCCATCTGTACGCTGCCTACAAGAGACTCATTTCAGACCTAAAGACTTCTGCAGATTGAAAGTGAGGGGCTAGAGAACCATTTCTCAAGCAAATGGATGTCAAAAGAAAGCCAGCGTAGCAGTAGTTACATGGGACAAAATAGACTTTTTGAAATAGACTTTAAAACAAAGACTATAAAAAGAGGCAAAGAATACTACTATATAATAATAAGGGAGACAATCCAACAAGAGGATACAAAAATTGTAAATATTTATTTATACAACATGGGAGCACCCAAATGCATGAGACCATTACTAACAAACATAAGTGGAATAATTAATGGTATTACAATAGTAGGGGACTTTAAAACTCCATGTACATCAATGGACAGATCATCCAAACAAAATAAACAAGGAAACTGTGGCTTTGAATAACACACTGGACAGCAATGGATTTAACAGATATATTCAGAGCATTTCATACTAGTACAGCCAAAAACACATTCAAGTGCACAGGGAACATTCTCCAGAATAGTTCACATATTAGGCTACAAAATAAACCTCAACAAGTTCAAAGAGATCAAAGTCATACCATACATCTTTTCTGACCACAATGCTATGAAACTGGAAATCAGCAGCATACACATACACACACACATACACATACACACACAATCCAGAAAGACCACAAATACAAGGCAGTTAAATAACATGCTACCAAACATTGCATGGGTCAACCAAGAAATCAAAGACAAGGAAGTCAAAACATACGTGGAGACAAATGAAAATCAAAACTGCTCTAAAACCTCTGGGATGCAGCAAAAGCAGTTCTAAGAGGGAAGTTTATAGCAATACGAGAAGCAAGAAAAATCTCAAACAACCGAACCTTCCACCTAAAGGAGCTAGAAAAAGAACAAATA